CCCGAGGAGGCTTCCCTCGGTGGCGACGGGCCTCCTGGAAGCCCGTTGTCACCGAGGGTCCCCCCGAGGAGGCTTCCCTCGGCGGCGACGGGACTCCTCCCGGGCGCCACGCGCGCTCCTGGCGCCGCGGCCGCCATTTTGGTTTCCAAAATGGCGGTCGTGATGCGCGCGGCCGGGCGGCGGCGGCGGCAGGGGTTCGCCTGGGCCCGTAAATTTGGCCACCTGGGCCGGAACCGGCCCGCGGGCTGTAGGTTGCCAACCCCTGGTCTACAAGATCCTTTTGCGTACTAATTTTCCAGACTAACTAGGCTGTGATTTGTGCACCAGCTTTCACTTAAATAGTAGCTTGATGTACATACAGGAGAAAACTAATCTTTTAAGTTATACTCACAGTTCCTGTAACTTCCTTGCTTCTTGTTGTGATGTGCTTTTAAGTCATTTCTGACTTATAGCAAACCTAAAGCAAAGCTATCACAGTGTTTTCTTGGTAAGATTTGTTCAGAGGGTTTGCCCTCATTATTATTATTTTTTTAAGCTGTAAGAGTGTGCTGTGCCCAACAAGGTCACCTGGTGAGTTTGTGTATCCAAGAGGAGATTTGAATCTTGGTCTCCAAGTGCTCTAGTCTAGCACTCAAACCACTACACCATGTTGGTTTTCTTTGTACCTCCCAGTCAACTGATTTATGGTGATCCTATCCTAGAATATATATTTTTGCTTTCCTCTGGGGCAGAGAGAGTATGACTTACCAGAGGTCACCCAGTAGGTTTCTATGGCAGATTAGGAACTTGAACCTTGGACTTCTGGAGTCTAGTCCTCAAATTATTATATCACACTGGTACCATGGCTACCTGTCTATTGAAAAGTCAATTCAATTAAGCTCTCTGGGCTTTTTACTGCTAAGGAAAAAAGGTATCTAGATTTGCATAGTGTACCTATAGGTATAGATGTCCCTCCACATTTGTCCCTTTGACTTTTGTGAATTTAATTTGTGCTCCTTAGGAATCTCTAGGTCTTCCAGTGCAATTCTGATGGAAGTTGACCATAGAGTTGGCAGAAAGACCTAGAGCAGGGGTAGGCAACCTAAGGCCCGGGGGCCGGATGCGGCCCAGCAAGGCCTTTGGACCGGCCCCAAACCGGTCCTGCCGCCGCCGCCCCCCCCATGATGATATTGATTATTGTTGTTATTACTTGTTCTTGGGGTTTTCTTGGCAAAATCTTCACAGGGGTTTTGCCATGGCTTTTCTGGGGCTGAGAGAGTGTGCATGCATTTTTTAAAAATTTTTTAATTCTTTTTTAATTTTAATTTTAATTTTAAATTATTTATTTATTTATTTATTTTTGGTGCTTCGGCCCGTCAATTGTCTGAGGGACAGCAACCCGGCCCCCGGCTCAAAAAGGTTGCCTACCCCTGACCTAGAGATTACTAGATAAAATACTTTTTTTAGGCATTTGAAGGTCCTCCAGCATGATTCTGTGATCAGCCTCTAGCAGTTGTTGACCATAGAGTTGCCCTGGAGGACCCAGAGATTTCTAAAGAGGTGTTCATCGGGTAAAAAAAATATATGCGTTTTTCCCACTTTCACAGGGGTCCTGTGTCCCTAACTCCAGTGAATGTGGAAGGCCCACTTTTATCTTCTACACCATTGAAATGTGCAGGATCCATTGGTTCGATACTCTGCATTCCTGAATACTGATTGTGTGTATTTTTTTTTACTGTTTTACAGTTTACAAATGTTTCTTAAGAGCAGGTACCAGTGGCAGATGGTGGATTTCATGTCTGATGTTATGTGTCTTCAAGTCATTTCAAACTTATGACAACCCTAAGACAAACTTATCATGGGATTATCTTGGTGGGATTTATTCAGAGGGGGTTTGCCTTTGCCTTCCTCTGAGCCTGAGATAGCATGACTTGCCCAAGGTCACCCAGTGGGTTTCCGAGGGTGAATAAGGATTCAGACCCTGGTCTCTAGAGTCAGCACTCAGACCACTCCACCACGCTGGCTGTCGTTATGTCAGTAGGACAGTGACTCTGCTCTGGGTTTTCTGGGACACACAGGGCTCTGAACTTACAGCAGTTACAGGGTTCATCCATTTAGATAGTCCCTGTAAGGCAGGGGTAGGCAATCTTTTTGAGCTGGGGGCTGGGTTGCTGTCCCTCAGACAATTGGGGGGCCGAAGCACCATAAATAAATAAATAAATAAATAAATAAATAAAATATGCATGCACACTCAGCCCCAGAAAAGCCATGGCAAAACCCCTGTGGAGATTTTGCCAAGAAAACCCCAAGAACAAGAACAAGTAATAACAACAATAATCAATATTATCATGGTGGGCAGTGGTAGTGGGGGCGGCGGCAGGACCGGCCTGGGGTCAGTCCAAAGGCCTTGGGGGCCGCATCCGGCCCCTGGGCCTTAGGTTGCCTACCCCTGCTGTAAGGTTTGCACTAAAATCCAGAGTGGATTCCCCACTCCACTGACATGAAAGCCACCAGGTGCCAGAGAAGGTTAATACAAAGGGTGGATGGAATGTCTGCTTTTATTACTTGTTGTTCCATCTAAGGGAGCTTACCTCGTATCATCTTCTAATATCTAGCTGAATTCTGGGGTATTAACCAGAAGTAAAATGGACAAGAGTTACAGTTTTGAGATGGATTGCATTCTGCAGAAGTAAGATTGGCGGTACTTTCCCACTTAACATGGAAAGCTAAAATTGAAGCTTTTCACTTCACTGATTTAGTGTGTAAGGCTGGGTAGAGGCAGGGTTTGCAAGGAAAGCATGTATGCTGTTTTAAGCTCCTTAGTGGAAATTGAGAGATAAATGTAATACATACATAATATTTTGGGTTCAGTGAGAAGCAAACATTTTTATACAGTTACTGAGGAACTGCCATAAAATTGGTTGCTCAGTTGCATAGTTGAATGTTGTTAGAAATTTTTATCAGTGTCATTGGACTGGTAGAGAGCCAGTGTGGTGTAGTTGTTTTAGCACTGGTGTGTGACACTGGAGACCAGAGTTTAAATCTCCGTTCAGCAATAGACATTCACTTGGTGAGTTTGGCCAAGCCACATTCTATCAGCCTTGTCGAAGGCAAAGGCAATTCCCCTCTAAACAAATCTTGCCAAGAAAACCCTGCAATACGTTTGCCTTAAGGTCATCATAAATCAGCCAATATGGTTACTAAAGCTTTAGAGTCCTGACCAGCAATCCTGCCACTTCTAACTTAGTCACTCCTAAGATGTTATCCAAAGTCCTGAACCTATTTTGGACCTAGGTTTATCACCTTGGGTAGTTTAGTTCCCCCCCCCCCACACTGTCCTTGCAATTGCAATTTTTTTAATTAAAAGTCTTCCAATTAAAGGGGCTTTATACACATTTGAACCAGGGTTTTTATGATCTTTATTTTATTTTACTTGTTTCATTTCTATGCCACCTTTCTCTCAGAACGGGACCCAGGGCAGCTCACGAGATAAAAACATTACCCAGATAAAAGCAAGATAAAAACTACCCAGCTTCCTAAAGGTATTGCGGGGAAACTCTATAGTTGCCTTATAGAGGAAACATATGGGGATGGGCTGGTATATAAAAGGAGGTGGAAAATAGATCTAAATATATCAATTACAGAGGCTGCTTGGAATAAGATTTGGAGCCTCCCCCCATTTAAATCACGATCCATCCAGCTTAGAGAGTGTTCCTTAAAATTACTGTATAAATGGTATCTCACTCCTGTGCAATTGGCTAGATTTTCTAAGCAAACAACTGCAGAATGTTGGAGAGGATGTAAATGTAAATAAACGTACTGTCTGTCCATATGTGGCTATATTGTGACAGAGTTAAACAGTTCTGGTCAAA